AAACATCTAAAAGAACATTTCCAAGTGATAAAGAAAAGTATGAAAACAGTGGAATTATTTTATGAATAGGTATCTACATCTGAGATAAAACCACAGTTATGTTTCTCCTTTGAAAATTATTTTGAGTTGCGAGTTGAAATATTTTACAATGTCTAAATTCTCTCACAACTACAAACGTGAGTTTCTATTACTAGTTATTTATAATATTATTATAAAAATTTATTTATAGTAATCTTTTCTGTCAGATGATCAAGTCATTATGTGTCGATGTTAACAAAGCTATGGCAATGTCTTTAAAGTGGTTTGGAGGACTAAATAATATTCTTAAGGGCCAAACTTAAGGTTATCTACTACTATTTTAAGAATACACACCTGGTTCAGAAACAGAATTTCTGACTTCATAGGAAATTTAGATATTCTTCTCTCATAGTCATGACTATACCAAATATGTACAGAATATAAGAATTTATATTCATTTCTTTTGAATTATACCTAATCTCAATTTAAACATGAGATTTGGAATAAAATCAGTTTTGCAAATGGTAATAGCTCAATATATACAATATCTTTTTGATAACTAATTACACAAATATTTTAAATTCTAAGTCAATAATCTTATGTCTGTGTCTTTCCTTTAAAAAAAAAGTATTGTAGCATCTTATTGTTTCTTTCTCTGATTTAGATCGGGGTACTGTGCAGAAGGTGGTTGTTCTTCCTACTAACAGCTCTGCCAGTGGTGAGCTCATTCTGGAGGAGTTGGAAGTTTTTAAGGTTTGAACGTCTGTTAGTCTCAGAACATGCATGATGAATGGAACTCTAATCTTATAGTCACTTCGAAGGAAAAATATACTTGATAAAAGATCAAATAAATGAATGTTATAAATTTTTGAGAGTAAGAAACACCAGATAAAATGAGAAATATATAACAAATATTTTCTGAAGTATTGTTATTCATTTCAAGCTATCTTAACATAAAAGGATGAGTTTTTCCAGCTATCATCACAATTTTAAAAATTTTGGTCATCATTATTTTTAAAAAATGAGTTCTTGTGGTCAAGGTCTAGAAGATTTGCCATGAAAGGCCTTTTATCATTTGCTTCACAAGCCACTGAAACCCAAATATTTTCACATTATTGTTAGATAAACTTTCTCACATTTTTTAATCCAAGAATTTGAAGAAAAACTACTTTGATGTCTCTTATTTTATTGTTTTCAATTCAAATGTCACTCTAACTAAAACAAATGTTTCTGTATCACTCAAAACTTAATGTTCTCTCTGAACTTGAGATTTTATTGTATTTTTCTCTCTGTCCTTGAATTTGGCATTAAAAAAGAAAAAAACAAAACAAAAACAAAACACAACAAAACAAGGTACACGGGGAAATTCAGTCCTGTAAGATCTTAACCTGCTCAGGGCAGAGTGCCTATTCTTTATGTATCTGTCAGCCTAAAGAGCAGATTTGTGGGGTCTTACGCCTTTTTTTCTCCTTAAGATGTAGGTGATTGTAGTTCAAGTGGACCCTCTTATCTGCATTTGAAAAGTTAGGTAAAGGACAGACAGAGGAGCTGTTAGAATTAAAAATAAACTTTGACATGGAATAAATCCTACTATAGACAACTATTTCCAAGTAAACCAATTAATAAACATTGGACGCTGGACATTAAAAGACAGGAGTCAGCCTATACCTGAGTAAAAGTAGCATTTCAGTACTCAAAAACAGATATTGATAGTCCAAATAGGTGCTTTGCTTAGTTCAGTGGACTGAGAATGTATTGACTTATTAATATACATTCTCAGTCACCAAAAATATTGAATTTTTATAAGCATATAAGTGACCAAGATACAATGCTGTTAGATTATGTTAATAAATTCCTAATAACTTTTAAATGTGAAGAAATATGTTTTTTAAAGAATCAAATTAAATATAAAATCTGAGGAACTGTGATGAATTTCCCAATGTTATTAAATTTATAATTTTTAATGCTAGACTCACTTTGTCATAAACTTTTTGTGATTAGTACATTAAAATTGTACTCAGAAAATGTTAACCAGGTGCATTCAAGTGCCTTTTTTATGCCTTGCTTTATAAAGAAATTTATTGTTTCACTAGGTTAACCAGAATCGCATTATATATAAAATATTTTTTTCCCATTCAATTCAATAGAGACAACTTGGCCAGCCAAAATAATATAAAGTACCTTATTCGGGACTTCTCTTGAAGATAGCAAAAATATCATATCGCAGCACTTCATTTTTAATTCTGAAATATCTGTTTTTGGTAATCAGGAAATGTTAATTAAGTGAGTTTGACACAAGCTCAAGCATACATGTTATGGAAAGGTCTTAAAGAAATGTGATTTATTCTGATCATGTGCTAACTACTTATGGTCTGTTATTTGAGTTATGCTGGTGTTATCATCACGAAGAATAAACTTTCAGTGGAAAAATAGAGTCAGTCAAAATGCATGTGTCAGACATCAGCCCAAGAGAGAGACTAAAGTTTGAGCTTTCTTACGGATGCGTGTGCCAGTGATTGATATGGCTAAATTGAGAGATACAGTTACCAAACACAGTTACTGTCTTCAGCATGGTGTTTGTGTCACATTTTCTGAGGTGTGGTAAAAATAATTGGGTGTGTATGATATACTGTGATGAGCACGTGAAGAAATAATGCATTTAAACTGAAAAAATTTCTTACCTAAGTGTCACACTGATAGACTGCAGAAAACCCAATGTAACTTTTAAAAACCAGACACTTTGTTTTTTATAGAGTGCAGATCTACAAACTCTTCTTTTAATCCTTTGTTCAGAATATTTTTTGAAAATATGTCCAGCTCCTCTAAACTTAACTTTAATTGGAGGTACAATTATTAGAAGTTGCCTACATGGGTATAAGTTGTAATACTTTTTGTATGTGTGTGTATTTCTAAGCAATGATCAAAACTTGTTGCGATAGAATATTTAGAGATATGACCATTTTCTCTTTTAAATGTAAGAACAGACCACTCCAGAAAGTGAAATAACTGTGGGTACACTTGATTTTGAGAGGTTGCTCCCACTTGAGTTATTCAAATAAAATTTCACAGATCTTTATCAGTTTATCATGAGTCTAATTTTTCATCTTTAAAAGTAACTAATAATGTTTAAGACGTAAAGTTATAAATAGAGTGACTTTCAAAATGGACTACTATTTCAGAAAGCACTTAGGTTCTTTCACTAATTCACATTTATCAAAAGAGGACCCCTAAAACTATTTTTTTGTTTGCAGTAAAAAGAATTAATAAGTATGGTTCAGGCTAATACATCTTTCCAAAGCAGCATTTGGCAGGTGAATAATAGAGTCTTATGCAGAGTGCTGTGTTGTGGAATAAGATGGTATACCATTCCACAGCTCCCCACTCAAATGCCCAGATTCAATCCTGAGTTATTCATTGGCTTCAATATTCTAAAATATACTTTTTTCAATTCTTTCAAATTTTCATTTTTTTCTAGTAAATATATTAATAGATGTGTTATAATTGCTACTTTTTTAAATTTTAAGCATATATTTGTGTCACATATCCATCTTTACTCCCAACAGAAAAAAAAATGTACTTTATAAACAAGTTTTGCTAAACTTTGAAAGTATATGTGCATATAGAGAGAAATGATGGTTTCTTGAGTTTTAACAGAAAAGAGAAATTTTTTTGAATGAAAATCCTTTTAATGATTATTTGAGCAACTAACATAATGATTTCTAATCTTTCAGAATCATGCTCCTATAACAACAATGAAAATTTCATCCAAAAAGGTAAAATCAACCCCATTTTTATTTTCTTTGCATGTAAAAAATTTTATGACTATAAAAATATGTATTTTATAATTTCTGAAAATTTTACTTTAGTATTAGCAAAATAATTAATACTGTTTACAGTATACCACAAAATCACCTTCAGTTTTTGACGTAGAATTTATTAGCTATTAGTGGAGACAGAATGGGTTTATTTTTATATAAAAGTTCTTCAGAGCAGAAAATACATATATGCAGCAAGATATTCCAACATTTTATATAGCCTATATTATCAAATATTACAGTGTTTGAAGCCAACCAAAATAAAAATAATCTTTCTGAAGGAAGAACTTAGTGTGTTTGGGCTACTATAACATCACAATCATTCTCAGGGGCTTAGAATGAGTAATCAATCCCCTTTTGAGTTCCTGCTGCTATCATATGTTCAAAATGTGCAATGCATTCTTTTATGCTTATTTCTAAGGAAAAGCTATTTTTTTAGGGTTATACATATCATTAAAAAAATCTGAATGTCTCAAATCTAAGCCGTATTAAGTTTTGGGATTTGGGGAAGAAAAGTTAGAGTATGATTATCAGAAACGTTAAATCTTCTCATTTGTGCCTGCCCATGCAAATACACAATGATCACAGAAAGGAAAAGCCTAGTTGTAATTTCCACATGTACAAAACATGCACCTCTCTCGCCCTCAAAAGGGCCCCAGAACAAAAATTCTAAGGGCCAGAGTAGTGTAGTTAAAAATGGAATAGGCTTCAGAGTAGGGCTGACACGTGAATTCCAACCTAATCATAAATTACGAACAAATCATTGAACTTGATAGAGCTAAATTTCTGCCTCTGCAAGGTAATGCTTTTCTCACAAACAAATTAATTTATATAAGTTGCCTAAAATAAAGTAGGTCCTTGGTGACTGTTGTTTGTAAGAGACTAAGACTTATTTTTCTTGGAACAAAGAATAAAAATTTTATGTGTTAGCACAACTGATGACATAACTTTAATGTTCTTCACCATATTTGGTCTGTTACAGATGAAGAAGTATTCCACAGTCAGTCTTGTACTCTTTTTCACTTGACTAAATTTTATGAAGAAAAATAAATAGGGTACAACAGAGCTAAAGATCTCATCTGTAAAAATGTTTGTATGGCGCATAACAAACATTTTCCCAAGTAACAAGAAGCCATTTGTCATTTTCCCCAGTATCCTAGGGAGCTGATCCCAAGGCAGAATTGCCTTTGAAGTCAGCAGGGAAGCCCTTTGTTTACAGTAGTTTAATGGAAAGTATTAGAGCAAAATTCAAAATGGACACAAAGCCGTTTGTGCGGAATAGTAGTTTAGTATACAATTAGATTTCAACTTGTAATTCAACTGGTGAACCTGTAGTTCACGATCCATCCCATTAAATTGCAATAAATGACACACACACTCAGTCAAAACTGAGTATTAAGTCTGTTTTCAACATCGTATATTATAGATAATTAAAAATGTTTCATTAAATCAATTAGATCAAGTAATTACTTGATTTAGGGGGAATTCATTCGCACAACTGCATGCTGTATTATTTTTACAGTGTGAAAGAGCTACACATTGCCAATGATATTTTATATTTACTTAAATACCATGAATTTATTACCTTCCCTAGTGCTCAAACTACTGTGTCCATTTTATGCTTCTTTATTCTCCAATTTATTGTTGCATTCCATATAGCAGAAGATAGTTGGATTAATAAAAAAAGAAACCACCTGTATCCTTCCTCAAATAAACCAGTTTCCCCAAAATATTTAATAAAGCCAATGCATTCATTGTATTATTTACTAATGTACTCAATAAACACTTATTTCAAATGTTCTTAGAGAAATGATTATTGTCAAAACATGCAGTTGTTTTTTCATGGTTTTAATATCTCAAATGGGGATCAATATTTTTCAGTCCAATTTCTGAAAAACTAATTGATCTTTATAAAATAATTATTTTACATTAAACATAGAGTGGAATGTAACTCAAATGACTAATCAGAATTAAAAAAATTACAAATTAATAATTAATCAATAGTTTACTACTACTATTTAACATTCATTGAGCACTTAGAAGCCAGAAGCTACTCTAAGCATTTTATATCGAGTTAGTCTATACATTTAGCTCTTACAAAAACTCTGTAGGGTAAGTACTCTATTACCCCAATTTTACCAAAAGACAAAACTGAGATTCAGAAAAGTTACATGGCAAATTTGTGGTTGAGGCAGGGTTTGAATCCCAGAAGTTTGCCTCCAGAGCCTACTGGACCAGATGCCCCCACTGATTTAACTTTAAATACGATGTATATAACATGAATATGTATAGATGTATATGTATGCCCACAACGTTCACATACATATAATTCAAGTTCCAGCTTAGAGATTCTTTGCTAATTCAATGGTATAATATCAGTCTTTTGTAAAATATGAAGTGTCAGTGAGAAGTTTATCCCTTCCTCTCCTGAGAACCGTTTTATGCACAGCTAAAGGAACTGGAGCAGTATCAAAAGAAACTTTTGGCACCCTGCAAATGAAGGAGGTTTAAATTTTTATTTATAACTTAGGATGCTGAAGATGTCTGGATCATACAGAAAGTTTAAGACATGTCTAAATATAAATACCAATATTCTCTTAAATAATTTTAAAATTTCTCTAATGAGTAATATATTACTTTTAAAGGCATGAGAATTTTTTTTATCTTCTCTAATATTTACTATTTTTTTCTTTTAAATTTAAAAATGCCTTTTATTTCAGACTTGACTTTTTCAAATTTACAAGGTAATGGGTTGCCAGATTTATAAGTAAAAAAGCTGCCTTGTGCTTTGCTAAGAGACAACATTCAAAGAAAAAAGCAAACATCATAATTTAAATCTGTAATGTATTAGCTCAAATCTGAGAACAATGAATCCCAATGTCTAAAACACAGAACCATTCTATATGGTGCTCTGAGCTTTTTATTTTTTTAAACAGGAAAGTGGTAATGTTATAGGCATATTAACATAGGAAAATTTTATTTATTTTGGCTTTATATCCTTCTGGACTTTACTTCTCATTTTTAGTCTATTTCAAAATGAATTCAAGGGCTTGTGGGCATATATTATAATGTGTTCCTGCCGAAAGTCCTCTTTTAACTTCCACATCTGAAATAAATCATCATCATTCTTCTAACAGCAACAGTTGTATGTGAGCTCCAATGAAGGGGTTTCCCAAGTGTCTCTGCATCGCTGCCACATCTATGGAACAGCCTGTGCTGACTGCTGCCTGGCCAGGGACCCTTACTGTGCCTGGGATGGCCAGACTTGCTCTAGGTTCTACCCAACTGGGAAGCGGTGAGTACTAAACATTCACCAGACAATTAAGCAGTACTCCACATCTTTACAATCAGCTCTATTGTGGTATTCTTTGGAAACAACACTAAAAGCAGCAGCTTCGTTTAGCACCACATTTATTCAGTCTTTGAATGAAAAAAAAAAAAAATGACTGCTTTATAACTTGAGATGTGTTAGAGGACAGTACTTTGGAAAAATTCCTTCCTCCTTTTAAAGCACCTCTGTAATACGATCCCCACGTGTGAACCATCAAATATTTCAAGTAACATCTATCTTTTTTTTCAGATTATTTAATTATTATCTTTGCTATTTTATATGTTTCACTGAGTTTATCCTTAAATCTTACTTTTCTAGGGTTTTCCTGCACCACTTAATTCTTCTGTAATCAAATGCTTATGCTAGTTTAGGAAACAGGAGCATTGCTCCAAGATGGGTACCATGAATTGCCTTCAAAACCTTGATTTGTTACCCTTTAGGATGGTGAGTGCATGATTGCTATTTGGATTAAGAGAGTAAGACATTCTTGGGCAGTGTTTTTTATCCAAAAATTTGGGCAGGTAACTCTGAACCAACTTGCACAAAGTTAGAAGGGATCACCAGTAATGAAATTGGCTGTCGAACAAAGAATATAAAGAATTTAGTGTCAGCCAGGGTAACAAATATTTTCAGTCGTACCTTGATATGGATCATGATAGGCAACAAGGCCAAAACCTATAAAAATTACTGTCAGCAGGAGAAAGCAAATAAGACCAACCATGAGCACTAATGATCTTTCAAGTACAATCATAGAGGTGATGATGTTTTATAGAAACTTTATTCTCTGTTATAGGTATAGGCCTCTAAGGGCATTGACAGTTTAAAACAATGCTTGTACTTCTGCATGTCAAGATTATTTTGATATTTTTATCTATTAGTTTGACAAATTTGTATCGTGAGACAATTATTTACCAGGCAGTGTTCTAGACCTAGGCATATAACATGAAAAACAGCAACAACAAAAAAAACAAAAATTTCTGCCATGAGGGATAATAAATTCTGGAGGGGGGAAGAGAGACAATAAACAAATAAATAAGGAAACCCTCTAGTATATCAAAAAATGAAAAGGTCTATGAATTTAAAAAGAGTAAAGAAGGGAGATAAGGGATATAGAAAGCAGGGGTTTGCAATGTTAAATGGGTGGGCTGGGAAGGCCTTACTGTGGATGTGATGTTTGAACAAGGACTTGAATGTGAAGAGGAATGGCACTATGGCATTATTTGAAAGAATAGCATTCCAAAGAGAGGGACCAGAAATCCTTAAAGCTGAAGTGAAATGGAAAACTATTAAGAGTTTTTGAATATGTTAGTGATATTATTTGACTTTGGTTTAATAAGATCATCCGGTTAGGTTTGACTGGGATTGGGGTAGGGAGAGGATAAGGAAGAAGAGATAGAAGCTACAGGACAATTAGGCTATTGTAGTGATCCAAGTGGGATATAATGATGGCTTGCACAGGGATGATAGAGGTGGAGGTGGCAAAAGTTGTCTGATTCTGAATAGAGCTCACAAAATCTACTGATATGTTACATGTAGGATGTTAGAGAAATGGAGGCCTCAAAATTGAACCAAGTTTTCAGAACTGAGCATTGGAAATATATAGATGGCATTTAATGAGAAAGAGAAGACTGTGGAAGAAGTAGATTTTTGGTGGAGAAAGATACCTTAATGGTGCCCTAGAGATACTCAAGTGGAGATATTGAGTAGGTAGAGAGATGAATCTAGAGTAGAGAAGAATGGCCTGGGCTGGATAATTTGAAAGTCTTTTGTATTTAAAATCATGAGCTATAAAGATAACTCCCAGTTTTTAAACCGAATCTTTAGTATCTATGTTCAAAGACCCATGTTCCTACGTGTCAGTATAAGATTTACTCAGGAGGTCTGTGGCTTCTAATAATTTCTACATAAAATTTCTGGACCTCATTACTTTGAGATCTTCTTTCTGCACCAGGCTGGAGGTCTAACATTGGACACAAAGTGTGATGAAAACAAATTCCAAATATAATCTCAAATTAAAAATAATTTTTGTGGCCACTGTTTCTATTTTTAACATTTGTTTTTCACTCCCAATTATGATAGCAGTGATCTTCAAAATTTATCATCACAACCATTTGTAAGGCAATGTTTCTTTTCTTGGTAAAGAATTCTAAAAGCTGACATCTCTAAAACCTGGAATCTAATCTTTTGTCTATTAAACAAATTTAGTGCTGAAGGAAGCTAAAGCACTACACTTTCTAAGACAGTGATGTGGGGACCAGAAAGTGAATCTTACCATAGTCCTATTGCATACCAGTCTCTTCTATACTGTGAAAGAATTGGAGATTAGCATCCTTTCTCTATAAAACTCCCAGACTAAGGCTTTGGCCAACAAGCATTTTTATTAACAAACAAGGAATATATCTCAAGTAAAATTCCATACTATATATGTAGGCTATCATTGCATATTTGAGATATTTTTTACATTTACAAGTTTCTTTTGAAACATGAGTCAACTCATTTGAGTATGAATTGACTCATTTGTTCTCATATTGTCCCACCTATTACAACCCAAGTTATCCTTTCAATATATATATAAACATAGATTCCACATTGTCATCCTAATGTCAGGATCTTAATCATGTTCTTACAGTAAATAAAGAACTGAAGTTATCTTGCAATTTTTTAATGTTACAATACTGTGCCTAGTATTAACCCATGTATTTGAGTTTGCTGTTAGAAGTAATAAATGAATTTAGTAAAGTTGGAAGATACAAAAACAGTATGTGAGGTGGTTCCATTGAATAGTGGTTAGCACATCTGCTTTACACACAGAAGGTCCTGGGTTTGAGCCCCAGTGGAGCCACAGTCCATACCCTGGGTGAGCCAGGCCCCAAGTGTGTGCCATGAGCATGTGGGAGGAGACACCCAGCCTTCAGAGATCCAGTTCTTAAAGGAAGATGACAACCAGGGGTGGAAGTGTATGTGTGTGTGTGGCGGGGGGCTGTTATAGGGGGGAAATTAAAAAAAATATGCAAAAATCCATTACATTTTTACACACTACTAATGAACTATCAGAAAGACAAATTAAGAAAACAATTCCATTACAATTGCTTCAAAAAGTGAAATACTTGGGACTAAATTTAATCAAAGAGGTGAAAGACCTGTACACTGAAAACTATAAGACAATGATAAAAGAAATTGAAGATGACACAAATAAAAGAAAATATATTCTATACTCATGGATTAGAAAATTAATATTGTTAATATATCCATACTACCTAAAGCAATCTACTGTTTCGATGCAATCCCTATCAAAATTCCACTGGCATTTTTCACAGAAATAGAACAAATAATCCTAATATTTGTATGAAAACAAAAAAGACCCTGAATAGCCAAAGCAATCTAGAGAAAGAAGAACAAAGCTGGAGATATCACAATTCCTAATTTCAAACTATATTACAAAGCTATATTAATCAAAACAGTATATTATTCATATAAAAGACATAGACAAAGAGAAGCACATAATAAAAGCAGTGGGTCAACTAATACTAAAATTAGTACAAAGATTAAAAGGTAAAAGTAGGAATATCATGCGTAATTACAACAATAAATTAAGGGATACATACAAACATACACACAAAAGTAAAAACTGACAAAAACAAAAACATGAAGGAGGTGAGTAAAAATAGTAGTGACTATAGAATGTATTTAAGCCTAAGTGACCATCGACTTAAAATAGAACGTTATAAACATAAATTGGAATATATGAAGCACATGGTAACCAAAACCAAAAATCTACAAGAGATATACAAAAAATAAAAAGAAAGGAATTCAAACACACTACAGAAAGTCATTAACATATGAGAGAAGAGAGCAAGAGAGAAAGAAAGGAACAAAGAACTACAAAACAATCAGAAAACAGTTAATAAAATGGCAATAACTACATACCTATCAATAATTACTTTAAATGTAAATGGATTAAATGCTTCAATTATAAGATAAATGGATAAAGAATATGTGGTACATATATGCAATGGAATATTTCTTGGCCATAAAATGAATGAAGTCTTACAACATGGATGGACCTAAAGGCTATTGAGCTAAGTGAAATAGGTTGGATAGAGAAAGACAAATACCATATGATTTCACTTATGTGTAGAATCTAAAAAACAAAATAAATGAACAAGCAAGACAGAAGTAAACTCATACAGAGAACAAACTGATGGTTGCTAGATGGGAAGAGGGTTGGGGGGCTGGGTGAAAAAAAATGGAGATTAAGAAGTACAAATTGGCAGTTACAAAACAGTCATGGAGATGTAAAGTACAGCATAGGGAATATAACCAATAATGCAATGACTAAGTGTAGTGTCAGGTGGATACTAGACTTCTCAGGGGGATCACTTTGTAAGTTATATAAATGTCCAACTATTGTGCTATACACCTGAAACTAACATAATATGAATGTAACTGTAATTGAAAAAAGAAAAACAGACACATAGATCAATGGAACAGAATAGAGAACCTAGAAATAAACCCATGCTTATATGGTGAATTAATTTATGACAAAGGAGCCAGAAAATATGATGAGGAAAAGATAGTTTCTTCAATAAATGGTACTGGAAAAACTGGACAGCCACATGCAGAGAATGAAGCTGGACCACTATCTTATGCCATACACAAAAATTAACTGGAAAATGGCTAAAGACTTCGAATGTAAGGACTGAAACCACGAAACTCTAGAAGAAAACATAGAATAAGAAGACATTGGTCTTGGTGATGAGTTTTTGGATTTCACTCCAAAAGCAAAAGGCAACAAGAGCAAAAATAAACTATTGGTGCTACATCAAACTAAAATTACTTCTGCACAGCAAATAAAATTGTCAACAAAATGAAAAGACAACCTACTGAATGGGAGAAAATATTTGCAAATCATATGTCTGATAAGAGGTTAATATCCAAATATGTAAAGAACTTATACAAGTCAATAGCAAAAAAAAAACAAACAATCCAATTAAATTATGAGCAGAAGATCTGAATAGACATTTTTTTCAAAGACATACAGATAGCCAACACGTACATGAAAAAATGCTCAACATCAATCACTAAGCATCAGAGAAATGTAAATCAAAACCACAATGAGATATTACCTCATACCTGTTAGAATCACTGTTATCAAAAAGACAAGAAATAAGTATTGGTGAGGATGTAGAGAAAAAGGAACCCTTGTGCACTGTTGGTGGGAATATAAATTTGTGCATGCACTACGGAAAACAGTATAAAGGGTACTCAAAAAATTAAAAATAAAACTACTATATGATACAGCAATTTCACTTTTGGGTATTTAATTGAAGAAAACAAAAACACTAATTCAAAAAGATATGTGCACCCTCATGTTTATTGCAGCATTTTTTCAGTATATATATATATACTGAATATATATATATATAATACAAAATCTATATATATATACACAATAGAATACTCTTCTGCCATGAAAAAAGAGTGAAATCTTGCAATTTGTGACAATAAAGATGGATCTTAAGGGCATTATGCTAAATGAACTGAGTCAGACAGAGAAAGACAAATACCATATAACTCACTTATGTGAAATTTTAAAAACAACAACAATAAGCCAAGCTCATAAATACAGAGAACAGATTTATGGTTGCTAGAAATGGGGGATGGAGGATGGGAGAAATGGGAAAGTGAATCAAAAAATACAGACTTCCAGTTATAAAATAATTAAGGATGAAATGCACAGTATGATGACCTTATACAGTTAATAATACTGTATCGCGTATTTGAAAGTTGCTAAGAGAATAGATTTTAAAAGTCCTAATCACAAGAAAAAATATTTGCAATTATGTATGGTGACAGATGTTAAACTTGTCATGGAGATCATTTTGCAATATATACATGTATTGAAAAATTATGTTGTATACTTGAAACATTTATGTTAGTTATATCTCAATAAAAAGTATAAACAGGAAAAAAACATATATCATGGGTTGAGAAAGTAGTAACCATCTAAAGAGCTATCTTGATGATCTCTAGTAATGTCTTAATTCTATCACAGAGTCAAAATCTGCAATATGTATATGATATTCCTTGGCCTACCTATACTCATCTTTGGTTTGCATATTGGAATTTTCATTAAAAATATCTATACTACTTAAATTCTCCAAATTACTTACAAATTTAGTTAAGCCATATACTTATAGTGAATGCAAAACATGTTTGCTGAATGAATTAACTATTTCCTAAATTCTAATATGTAGTACTTATTTTCCTTAGAGATTAAATAATAATGATGAAAAATGCTATTTTTTTCCACATTTATTTTCTTTAATAGTGTTAACTTACCTGGTTTTATTCTAATTGTGCTATCTGTTTTTCTGGAACACAAAGATCACATAGAAGAATTCAGAGGAATGAAAGAACATATCCTTTGCATGGAAACAGAGAAATAGAATTATACATAGAAATCACTGGAGTCCAGACCTTGACATAATAAAGTTGTTATATATCATTGGCTCAGTAGTTTTCCCCTTTTTAAAAGAAGTTAGTTTATAGTAATCAATATAAGCCTTTTTTTCCCCTCTACACCCTCACATATCTTAAATATTTGGGCATTTGTATCAAATATTACAATTTAGACTGAAATGCTTTTTATTTAAATGGATTCAGATATGTAGTTAGAAATTTTATTTTAAGACAAGATAATCAGTTCAGTCTTCAAGTAAATATACGTTTTCTATACAAGAAAAAAATAATTTCATTTTTTATCCAAAGGAGTAGACTATAATGGGGAAAACATTGGCAACTTGAGCCAAATCCCAAGCCTTACGTGCAATATAATACTCTGCCTACCGGCACACTTTTGCAATGCTATATGAATGCCTTATAGGAAATCTACACTACAAAAGGCTCAGATGACTGCCTTGCTGATATCATTTAAGCCAAGTCATAACAATAGTTTTCTGTACCTGAATGTCTAAAAGCGATATGATACTATAAATTCAGATTACTCAGCTTACGAGTTCATATACATGAGTAAACCATAACGTAGAGCTGATCACAGGAAATATGGCCGAAAATAACCAATTCAACCATAATAACTCTCATGTGGTGTTCATGTAATATACACTCACAGTTGGCTGACAGTACATAATGCTGTGACTTAAATATATAACAAATACGATGCAGTAAAAATGTGATATAGGAGCTCTTCTAGAATACAATAATAATCGCATTCTCTGAGACAAGAGTGATTTCCACTAGTTTTTGTGGTCAATATATAATTGAATAAGGATCATGTGACTTTTTAGAGAAAGCATATTTAAATGACAAAATTTTATACATATATTTTCATAAGTATATGTATATACTCAATGAGTACATAAACTGTTAACTATTTACTGTAACATTAAAATGAATGTTTTCATTATTAATGACTTTGAGATTAATTTTGCTTTGTAAATTTGATAACTCCTGTGAGATTTTAATATTTCTGTTCTTCTTACTGAATATTTTAATTTATCTTTAAGGGTAAAAATATTGAGAGACTTAATAAGTAACCCAATTATGTGATATGCTCAGTCTTATATACTTCTCAGCATTAATAGCAAATAATTAATTTATCTGCATACTCCCAAAATTTCTTTTATTAAAATTGTTGCTGTGACATTGGTTAATAAAATCAAATAAGTTTCAAGTGCACAATTCAACTATATGTCATATGTATATTGCATTGTGAGTTCACCACTCAAAGTTAAATTTCTTTCTCTTACCAAAAATTTGACCCTTTTTATCCTTATTTACCTCCTCCTTTCCCCACTTCTCTCATGAGTCTCTGTCATATTTGTTTGTTGCTTTCAGTTTTATATCCCACATATGAATGAAATCATATGGCTTTCAACTTTTTCTGTCTGACATTTTGCTTAGCATGATTATCTCAAGATCCATCCATGTTGTAATAAATGGCAGTATTTCATCTTTTCTTATGGCTGAATAATGTCCCATTTATATATGTACCACATCTTATTTATCCAATCATCTTTGGTTGCTTCCATGCCACAGCCACCAGGAATAATGCTGCTATGAATATTGGGGTACATATATCTTTGCAGTAAATGTTTTCAGGTTTTTTAGATAAATACCCAGAAGAAGGATTGCTGGGTCGTATAGTAATTCTAGTCTTAGGTTGTTTTGTTTTGTTTTTTCCTGAGGAACCTCCATACTGTTTTCCATAGTGGCTGTACCAATTTGCAGTCCCACCAGCAGTGTATGAGGGTTTCTTTTTCCCCACAACCTCTTTCAACACTTGTCATTATTTGTCTTGTTGATGATAGCCATTCTAAAGGGTGTGAGGTGGTATCTCATTGTGGTTTTGATTTACATTTCCATAATGACTAGTGAAGCTGAGCATTTTTTCATCTGTCTGTTGGTTATTTGTATGTCTTCTTAGATGAAGTGTCTGTTAGGTCCTCTGCCCAGTTTTTAATTGGATTGTGCTTTTTTTAAATTATTATTGTTGAGTTGTATGAGTACTTTATATATTTTGGATATTAGGCCCCTTTCAAAGGCATCTATTGCAAATATATTCTCCCATTTGGATGGTTGCCTCTTTGCCTTGTTGATGGTTCCTTCTGCTGTGCAGACAAAATTTTTAGAGAGTTGCCTTCCTTGTCTCTTATAGCAATGTTCATGATTCATTTCTAAGAGAATGCCAGTTGCTTTATTTTGATTTGTTACACTATGTAATACAATTAAAACTTAGCTAACACTAAGATGCAGGAAAATAAATAATTTAAAACTTTTATTTAAATGATGACTAACTTATAAAGAATGTAACTAAATTTTTGAAATGCTTAAGTTGGTGATATGTAACAACTAAATGCAATGAATGAACCTTAACTGGATCCTGAATAAATTTTTAAAAATCCATAAGGGATATGTTGGCGAAAACTAAGGAAATTTTAATATAAAATGCATATAATATGATGTTATTGAAAAAATATTAATATCCTTAGTATAATAATAATTGTAGGAAAATTACTTATTCTTAGAAGACACATGCTAAAGCATATAAGTGCGAATCATCAGTTCTGCAAAACATTATCATGACATACTTGTATATGCAAGAAAAAATAAATATGGCAAAATACAGCAATTCATGAATCTAGATATATCAGTGTTCATTGTATTCATATATCCACTTTTCTATGAACTTGAAACTTTTCAAAATAAAAGTTAAAGTAAAATTATTATTTTAGTAAATGAATGATTTTGCTTAACTTTATATTAAATATACAGATTCTATCTCTGTATCACTTGTTTTGGAAAAATTTTAACATATCTGAAAACTGTTAGAAAGTATTGACTTTTTAAAGAAAAATATGCTCATATAAGAAACAAATTTGTAAGATGAAAAATGTTAATGAATTTATACTTTGGGGGTTATCTCCTTACAAAAATTTAGATTAATGTCTCTACAGTAAAAATTTACACTATTAATTTGGAATCTAACATTTACCTAATAAATGCACATAATAGAAAGTTTATAACCATTCTATCACAAGTGGTGGATGAGGAGAGTCTGAATTAACTTAGATCAAAAGCAGGGTAAGTACTCACCCTATCATTGGTGTATTGAACAAGAAATATCAAATATCAGACCTCTTTGCTTTATAGAAGTTTAGGCAATCGAAAGGCTGTGAAATTTAAAATGTTCTCTTTTAAATGTGGTGTAATTGACAATGTTAATTCTGAGTCACTTTTATATATTTCTGCACTTATAGGAGGAGCCGAAGACAAGATGTGAGACATGGAAATCCATTGACTCAATGCAGAGGATTTAATCTAAAAGGTATTAAAAGTAAGCAGTGGTCAAGCTTGTACAGAGTAGCAATGCTCTGTATCACATTTCAGTAAGAGAAACCTCATAAGATATTCAAATATTTCATTTTAAAGAAGGAACTGCTATAAAATTCTTGATATTCATATATGGTAATTACAAATTGAATGTTATTTGTATGTATACTAAGAATTGTGAAAAACGAAAGTCTGGGGACACAGATACCTAGGTATGTAGTTGATAGGTCTTTCAATTACAGATTTTCTTAGCTGTTATTTTCTTTCTGAGGAAAAGAAGTACTTTTTTAAATTTACCACTGAAGAACAAAAAGAATAGCACCTTGTTTGTCTTTTATTTGGGTAGATATACATAACACAAAATTTACTATTTTAACCATTTTTAAAGCTTACAGTTCTGTGGTATTAAGAACCTTCACATTGTTGTGTAACCAGCACTACCATCCATCTCCAGAACTTTTTCACCCTTTCAAAGTGAAACTCCACAACCATTAAACATCAACACCCTGTACCCCTTCCTCAACTTCTGGCCGCCACCATTCTACTCTCTGTCTCTATGAATTTGACTACTTTAAATACCTTTTATAACTGGAATCATACAATAGTTGTCATTTTGTAACTGGCTTATTTCACTTAGCATAAGGTCTTCCTTGGTATTCATTCATGTTGTAACATGTGAGAATTTCTTTCCTGCTTAAGGCAGAAAAATATTCCTCTGTGTGTGTGTGTGTGTGTGTGTGTGTACACACACATATTTTTTATTCATTTATCCATTGCTGGACACTTGAGTTGCTTCCACCTTTTGGCTATTGTGAATAATTCTGCTCCAAAAATACATGTACTAGAGCGTCTTTATTTAACAATTTATAACCATTCCATATACTTTTGACAATTCTGCCTTATGTCTTACAATTAATCTAGCCCCATTCTTTCTATCCTGACATGGAGATATCATATTATTATACTTTCCCCACTAATCTCATCCCACCTCAACCCCCCCAACAGAAGTATCTCCGGGCAGAACTCCCTCCTAGCCAAGGTGCTATAGATGTACTGTTGTTAACAAATAACACTGAGACTTCTACTGCTAATCTTTTTGAGTCTGGGTATTTTGTGTGTGCGTGCGTGCGTGCGTGCGTGCGTGTGTGTGTGTGTAGTAAAGAATGCCATTCTTATTACTAACTACAGCAACTAGAAGGAGAAAATTAAAACACATTTTGCTTAATTTTCATACATCTAATTGAGAGAATACATCCAGGTTACCTTTTCTCTACTATTTTATAAATCTTTGTGTCATTTCTCATGAATAGTCATAGTAGTCATAGTAGTAGGAATATTGGCAATGAAGGTAATGATGAACAAACATAAATGTTGATTTTGTGTCAGAACTGAGCTAAATGATTTTTTTTGTGGATTTTCTCACTTAATTCTCAAGAAACTGTACTAAAGTAGGGTCTATTTCTATTCCCACTTTATAAATGAGTATTCTGTCCATATTTAAGCTACCACATGATTATATAAAATGCTTGTCCTAATTTAAGAATTTCAATAAGGAACCTATATGAAAATATAATAGTCTAGGTTTTAAAACCAAGTAAAATTGAAACACAGAAAGATCAAATAATGTGTCTAAGGATATTCAGCCAGTAGTGGTGAAGTCAGGATTTTACCTCAGGTGCCTCTGATTCCAAAGCTTGTGCTCTCAACCACTACATCCCACTGTGGCTACATCTTGCTTTCTGCCTTTTCCAAATATTTCTGAATTTATTTATACTACATTGAGTACCGACTTTAGGGGTAGGATGGACCTGGCTTCATTGCCTGGAACTTATTAACTCTTTAGCAAATATATGTTTCCTCATAACTCACAGACTCATTTTTTTCAACTGTGAAAAGCCGAAGAAACCTAATTCACAAGGATATTGTAATAATTGAATGTCCAAAATGATATTAAGTCCATTCCTATTACTGTTGCTTGTTAAATGATTAAGACTGCCTTTTGGGGACTGCCATAATGATCACAATTTTATAGAGAAATAAACATTCATATAGGAGTATATGTTCTAAATTCCATTGTCTCTCTCTCTCCTTTCAGCATATAGAAATGCAGCTGAAATTGTTCAGTATGGAGTAAAAAATAACACCACTTTCCTTGAGTGTGCCCCTAAGTCTCCTCAAGCATCTATCAAGTGGTTGTTACAGAAAGACAAAGACAGAAGGAAAGAGGTGAGTAACGCAGCACAGCAGCAATCAATCAGGGCTTTAGAAAGAGCATTAAATCACCATCCCTCAGTGAGGTTCAGATCAAAGGAAAAGGAAAGGCATATGAACATCCTTTTATGTCTTTGGGATGACAAGTGCCACCCTCTGTAAAATCCTTTGTCTGTAGAGTTGATGGATTAATTAGAAATCCTCTCCGCCTGCTCACCTCTGTAACATGGTGATTGAAACAAGAGCTTGGGCACTCAAATGGGGGTATTGATGTGAGGAAACATTTGTAAAAGAAACAAGATGTGTATAAATCCAGAAACCAAGTTCTCACACAACGGCACCTTTGTGTGATTCATAGGATAAAAAGTGCTTTAAAAAAAAAGCTCAATTTTCCTCAGCAAGAAATTACACTAAACTATAACCTTTATGGAAAAGAGCATATTTCCTGTGTGGTAATCTGTTTCCATTGCTTTATTATTTATAACTCTCAGGTTTTGTTTAGGTAATATATGAAATTGTTATGGGACCATTGCCTTTATTTAGTGGTATGGAAAAAATACTAGATTTTCAAATAAAAGGACACTTACATTTACCTTTCTCTAATTGGAAAGAGTTGTTTTAAAAGGTAAACGTTGTAAAATGGCTTAGGGTGAAATATTATAAATAATGAATTCTATAATATTGATGTCACAGTATCCTGATACTTGTTTACCAGATATCTGTATGTAAATATCTGTGTGTGTGACATACATGTATATTATATATTACATATGTGTGTATATATATATTATATGTATATAGACTTAGAGGATTCTAAAATGTAATGCTGTTAGCAATACATTAAAAGGTCTGATGGAGCGAAGGAGAAAATGGAGCCTTCTTCATTTACATGTATTCTGTTTTAGGCAGTTTTGGTGCTACGTATTAAATTAATTAGGGCTATGTAGAATCATATATCCCAAGCTAGAGACTATAGACAACTGCATCAAAGTTACTGAAATAGATATCGGCTCCATATGAGAAAATACTTTCTAACAGTCAGGCCCGCCTATCCAAAGATGTTATAAACTGTTTAGGAAATTGCATGTCCCTTGTCACTGGAATATTAAAATATAGGCTGACAACCATTTACATAAGAAGGGGTTTAACTATCTGGAGAAAATATGAGCTAGATGGACTTCAAGACCCCTTCTTGTCCCAGGATTCTATGCTACTAAATTTTAAAAGTTTTTTCATTAACAAAAATTTTGTATTTGATATCTATTTTCTTTGCTACAAAATCTGTAATCAAAGAAGTCTTGAAATTTCTACAGTCAAATTAATTTTAAATTCCTTTGAATAGTTGTGGATCGTAATAATAATTGCAAAGTAACTTGGGGTAGAGATCATAATGCGTGAGGACGATTATCATACAGAAATGGAGTTCTTAGGGTAGAACATGACATAAACCATCCTTCCTGAAAAAGCCCATCTGTATGTATGTATGTGAACTGGAAATTTGAAACTCAAACAGGGATTATCTAACAAGGATAAAATGTTTTTCTTTTATTTGGTAGAAAGTGCAATAAGTGAATATAATTTCTATGATTTAAAATTAAAGTAAATTAACATACACATTTTTGATTACGTGCCACAGGAATTAATACAATTTTAAATAAAATGTGTTATGAATTCAGTCTCTTTTATGATAATTCAATGTTCTATTTCAGAATGCTCAAGAATGTGGAGACTCAAACATTACTATCTTGATTTTTTTTCAATTTCAGAAACATAAGAATGCTATAATTTAACATTATGAAAAATTAACTAATATAATTATAAAAATCTATTCCATCCCAAATTTAAGCTGAGCACAATTCCCTCATTCTTAACTTAGTTGAATACGGTATTAATAGTTTATTAAATTCGTCCTCATTCTTCCTTAGTATTTAGGCAAACACACTTATTTCCCATGTTAATGATGTATAAATACTGAACTTTAACAAATGGTAAAACTCATGGAAAAAATGCAAAGAATTCATACAAAATAGCATAAAGTGCTTTAATACTTATTCTGACTTCTCAGAGTATAAGGCTACCAAAATTATATATTTGATCATTATATATTACTCCAAATATTCTCTATAATTTTCCTGTACCCCCACATATGCGCGCGCACACACACACACACACACACACACACACACACACTTCAATATCAGTACATCTGAAGCTATTTCATTTTTTCTGATGCATAGTATTCCATCAAATAAATATACCTTGAATTTTTTAAAGCTATTGAATGGTTAGTTCTTTTTTCTGTTTTTGTTCTTATCAAAAACATGATGCAAATGAAAATATGCATACTTGTGAGAGTATATATTCTATACAATTCTTGGAAATAAAAGTTCTGCATAAAATATTATATATATATTTATATGCATGTTATATGAATATTATCAAATTGACTTCCAAAATTTTCCCCAATTTGGCACAAATAGGAAAGGCTTTCTTTTCTTTCATTTATGTTGTAGTTCTACATTATTTAAACTATTTCTGAGATATATTTAAACTTAAAAAATTACATTAACATCAAAATTTTGCTTTATGTATTTTAGTCTTTACTTCCTCCTGCTCTCTCTTTTCTAGTTCTGTTCTGTTATCTGTATTTCAATACTTTACTTTTCCTCTTTGTGCTTTTGTGTGAGTTAATTTTTATCTAAAAGAACCTATCTTTGATTTGGATTCTACTAATAATAAAATATACATTTACACAGAAATTACCATTTAGAAAAACATTTCACATGCATTTCTTTATATTAATTTGGGTCAGTTTCTTTTTTCCTCAGTGAAAGAGCATTCCAGAGTATACATGTCAAGAAAATTTTTACTACTTAGATTTTTAATCTATTCATTGATAATAATGTAACTGGAACTGTAAGGAAGATGTATTTCAGTATTTATCTGATACCCAGCGAATTATATGTTTGGTATTTTTTTTCAATATAAACCTGTAAAGTAATTAAATATTAACCTCATAGCTTTTCATTAGCTTTCTTTGGAAAATAAAACCACTTAGACTTACAAGACAATGATGTTCCAGATTATATTTAATGATTCCTTAGTGTGAGACAATTGGAAAAAAAGCCCTTAATAATGTCCAAAACTCTGCCTCTGCTTATATAATTTTAAATTAGAAGAATATTCATTTGTTAATTGAAAAAAAGTAAAATTCAACTTTTTAATTGTGGCTTCATGTTTTTACTAATAAGTGAGTATTTTTGTTATAATAAAAGGCAAGAATTCCAGGATGAAATAGATATTTTAAATTATATGGAATTTCATTTCCCATATATGTTGACCATGAGTCACCTTCCAAAAATAACCAAAATTCTGAGTTTATCTGTGTAGAAATTACTTCTATCTGAAGGGAATGCACTTTAAGCTCTTTTTGGCAATATGGATGATAACTTCACCCTCTCTTTAAGAGATCCAGTACCCCTGAGACAAGATATCCTGTGCAACAGAAGCCAGTGAAACTGTCTAAAAATTTATGATCGCTAAGAAGGAAGTTAATTAGTATTCCATGATTTTGCATGGAATATGTTGGCCATATCTGTATATGTTGGCCATATCTTTTTAGAAGATACAGAGTTGGGTTTTCAGAACTTTGATGTCTCTCTTTTAGGTTAAGCTGAGTGAAAGAATCATAGCCACTTCACAAGGACTCCTGATCCGTTCCATTCAAGATTCTGACCAAGGACTGTATCACTGCATTGCAACAGAAAACAGCTTCAAGCAGACCATAGCCAAGATCAACTTTAAAGTTTTAGATTCTGAAATGGTGGCTGTTGTAACAGACAAATGGTCCCCATGGACCTGGGCTAGCTCTGTGAGGGCTTTACCCTTCCATCCAAAGGACATCATGGGAGCATTCAGCCACTCAGAAATGCAGATGATTAACCAGTACTGCAAAGACACTCGGCAGCAACATCAACAGGGAGAAGAATCCCAGAAGATGAGAGGGGACTATGGCAAGTTAAAGGCCCTCATCAACAGCCGAAAAAGCAGAAACAGGAGGAATCAGTTGCCAGAGTCATAATATTTCCTTACATGGGTCTTATGCTTCCAGTAGCAAATGGTCTCTCTTCAATGATCAAATTTTGAACAAAGAATCTTGTTCTTTACCCATAGAAAATTTCCTGAGAAAAGTGGTTACATACTCCTAAAGCGAATGTTACATGAACTGAATTGAGCATGCATTTTCTTGTATGATATTGACTAGCACTAGACATGTCATGGTCCTCATGGTGCACATAAATATTTAAATTAACCCAGATTTTATTTATATCTTTATTTACCTTTTCTTCAAAATCAATATAGCAGCTATAAAACTAGAATTTTTACGTCCCTTAATTGAACAAGGGCCATAACCCTGTGATCTTTCTTCTTTGCTTTAAGGGTTTAGATTTCTAATTGTCACTGATTTTATATATGAAAACAAATTCTAACTTTACAACTTTTACATAGTAAAAGTTGTATAAATGCATGTGACAAAGTAGCTGTCAAGAAATGTAGAATAGAAAAAAGACAAGGAAGAGGGCACTAAAAACTGTATAAAACTTAAGTGATTCATAAAGAGAAAATGAAGTGTTTATATGCTTCCAGTGAAGTATGTTATTAGTTACTTTTAAGTTTGTAAAAATTGTCAGTTGCTGGTATCTGTCATTGATCTTTATTCCTTCGTTTCAGGAAGATAAAATGAATGACCCTCACTATAAATACCTTTGACTGGAGTTATGTCAGTGAAGCATTTAAGTTTATATTCTTATGCTATCATCTTCCAAACAGAAGCACTTTCTTTTTTTGGAAGTTATTTAAGTTATTCTAGACTCAGAGAATATAATCTTATGCTGTTTAATCGATTATTGTGTTTGTTCTAATTTTTCAGTCTTTGTGGCAAATTAAACAATATAAGAAAAAAAATTGGAATGTCAAAATTTTATATGAGGGGGTGAAACCATCAAAATGAAAAAAAAAACAACAAAGTAGAACATACAGTTTTATTAACAGAAACATAAAAAATGTGACTAGTTTTTAGCTTTAATAATTAATTTTGATGGTTAACACATTTTTTTTTTTGTTTACCAACTTCAGATATCATGTTGATTTTTAAGTCACCAATTCATTTTTAATGATCTTTTATGTGTGCTGGAGAGGTGTTCATTTTGTGGGAAAAAAAAAAGAATCTAGTTTGAACAAAAATAGACATCCTTTTCAAAGAATGTTGGTACATTATGTTCACTGGTATGTAAATGCAAATGTGGTAAGTTTTGTGATAAATAAAGTAATTATCTTCTAATTGTATGTTTGGATCATTTTGTTAAAATAATTTAATATTGTATTTTGTACTCCAAATAACAATTAGATGAAAAGAAACATAAAAAATTTCTTCATATTTTTACATTTCTTTTAAAAACACAACTTTTGCTTTTTCATTTTATTTAACATTAATGGTATTTTTATGTTTCCAGGAGCAAACAGAAATTGCATCATGTACCAATGAAAATTTAATAGAAAAGTTTTATTTGGAGTTAACAATCCATGAAGAATGTAATCAAGGTAGATATATCACCTTTATAAGCACTGCAGTATAAAGCTTTAAAACTAAAAGTCGGTGTCAAAATGAATTTGCAGTCATTGATTAGAATCTAAGAATATGATTAATTATTTAAGTGAAGATAAATTATGATATTTTAAGAGGAGGCTTCAATGGGGTAAAAATAGCACTTCAAACACAACATAGTGTTCCTTTTTTTTTAAAAAAAAAAAACTATTGATTAAAAGGTATTGTTACAAATGTGTGTATTTCTAAAGCAATCTCTAATTTATTATACAAATAGTTTGCCTGCTTAAGGGGTGTTATTAAACCTCTTAATTTCTCCTCTACATGCACAAATAGAATTGTATGTAAAACCAAAACCATCTTCTCTGTTTATGGCCCATCTATTCTACATACTGAGTTGAAAGTACAAGTGTTTTAGTCAGAGAATAGTGGAAGCTACACAGAACCCCTTGCTTCATATAAATTCAAACTGATATAAAATAAAGGTGTTTAGTTTTGTAATATTATTTGGCTGTTTAATACCTTTTACTTTGAACATTAGCAAATTGTATTTTATTACTTTTCTTTTAAAATTATAGAAATGCTTCTCAAACAGAATTTCCAAATGTAAAGAATATTTTCTTTCTCAAAAATATTGTTAACATATACTGAATGTTCGTGGTTGACTGGTTTTATTTTATTTCATTTAACAGTTTGATGACTTATGTTTTCCATTTATATTGTACAAAACATTTCCTAGAAAAGCACTTTTTTTCAAAGTGTAGATTTGCGAATAGATTTTAGCATGATGAAACTGTCATTACGGTGAATGTTCACTGTGTGTAAGAAAATAAAATAAATGTAGTTAGTACATTAATATTTAATTGGATGTTGAATAAAGCATTTTCCTGGCAAAATAAAACATACCTAATTCCCCAAGTATGTCTTTAACTTTCCTTTTTAATGTCAGGTTTATAATTGTTTGTCAACATGATAGAATCTACTGACTCTCATAACCTTTTTTCTAAATTTTATTTATTTTTCCATTTTGTGAAAATATTGCATCTAGATACTTCAAAATTCAAAACTTCCAGAAGGATATACATGAAAAACTCTCCTTGTACCACTATCTTTCCTTTGTCTAAGTCCTAACTAAGTCCTTACCAGAAGCACTCGATGTTATCAGTTTCTATGTGTATTTCCATGATACTTTATACATCTGTGAGAAAATTTCATTTGTTTTCTCTGTGAGAGGCTTTGTACCTCCACTCGCATCTGTAGACAGTTATTCAGACTTGTGTCTGCAATGGGGGAGAAAAGTATAGTTTAGAAATGCTTGGGCTTTAAAGCCAGAATGCCTGGATTTAAATCTACTGTCTTATGGGAAAGTTATCAACTCTCTTTCTGCCTTACTTCTCTGCCCAAGTTCATCCTGGTAAAGTGTTAAGACAGACATATTATATATTAAGTATCCAATAAATGTCTTAATATTTTCTTTATTTAGAAAGTGACATATTGCTAGAACTGGAAGAAATCTTTCCATTATGTTCTTCATCAAATTAAATGCCAATGATCTAGGCTGGAGAGTCTGCAATCAGTAGATCAGATAACACCTAACCAGGTAAAATGAGCCTTTATAAAAATGAAGGGAAGGGAGCCAAGAGTTAACTCATAATTCTGCTAATACATTTGAATGACAGAAGTAGTAGAGATTTCTTCCATCTCTGAGCTTTCAATCTATAGGAATGGGAGTGGAGGAAAAACAACAAAAATTAAAAACTATCTCAACAAATCTTACAATCTGAAGATTCTGTACTACTCCCTAATTGCCTCATTATTTCTGTTTCTCCCTTGCTTAGATTTCAACTTAACCTTAATTTAAAATAATTTTAATGTATTCCTTAGAATTTTAATGTATTTCTGGTGCCTTGACCCCTACCTAAGTGAAAAAATTTTAAGAAAAAGGTGAGTTTTCTATATCTATTATTCTAGCTAGTCGAAAAGACATTGCAGCTTTCTTTTGAACCATAGTTAAGTCTGTAAATTTTTAAGTCTAGACAAGAAAATAGGCAGTCTAATTAAAAATGCTTACTTAACAAGAGGCATTGAGAATTTCACTGAATTTTATGCATGATGACAAAGCTGTAGCAAACTGTCATGGAAAATAATTTTTATTATTTTTCTTAATTTATCTCACCAACTTTTTCTCTAAACACCTTTTGCACAAGAATGCAATCCCCTCTGCAAAATCAAAGCAAATTGCAACAAATTCCATGTATGTGCCATTTGGTGAATGTCATTGCCAATAAATTGTTTATCCTAAGGGGCCTCAGGTATATATTTCAATTTTTATGGGTTCATCACAAGTTTACTTTCATAGTGCACAGGTATCGAGTATTGGAAGAACTAACTCTAAGGTAAAAAAAAAAAAGCCATCTTCACTCTACTGACTAATGTATTTGTCTATTCACCTCATAAAATAATACTTTCCACACAGTTTAAATTGTGTATTTCTCAGGGCTATTATGTTGCCATGCTTGAGTGTTACTTACATAAAGTGCTATTAAAGAATGACATTATAACAAACCCATTAAAAGTGTTTATTCTATGTACAGTTACTTCTCAATCCCCAAGTACAAAAGCAGGATGAATTCTATTTCTTAAGTGTTTTCTTTTCCTCCAAATTCTTCATATGAAAAATGTCATCCAAACATTTTATAAGATCAAAAACATCATAATTTCTGCATGGTAAAATGGATATATAATAGAATTATAAAAATAAAAGCCATTCCTATTGTTTCTCTAGACACTTTTCATTATACATACAATCCTTGGCCCATGAAGGGCACAATGAGATGGAAGGAATTTCCTATTTTCTTAGGTCTTTTCAGAATATTATGTCTACAATTCTGTGGAAGAAAAAAAAGTTATAAAACTTTATGTTTTATTTTTTTTCCTATTAGTGATCTTTGCATGTGTGTGTGTGTGTGTGTGTGTGTGTGTGTGTGTGTGGTGAGGGCATTATAATCATATTCCCTTTGCTGCAAACAGAGCAGAGTCACAAACAGAACAGAGCATGGCTTGTCAAATAGAGAAGTTATACCAATAAAATATCTTTCTTTAAGTTGATGTGATTTGGCAGTTGTAAACTGTGGTTTGATGCTGAGAGTAAACTTGACTCATGGGTAGGAAAAGCAGCCTGGGAGAAACAAAAAACTGAGGAGGTGCTACTCAAGCCACAACAGCCTGAAACAGTCAGTAGAATCCTAGTGATGTTTTTATGTACACATTTTTATGTTTTTCATCTCCACAGATTATGCACACACAAACCCACAGCTGTATTTAATTTTTATTATTTCAAAATGAATTTCAATTTCTGCTTCATATTCCCATTCTAGCTTCTCCACTTATAGATGATATGAACTGGGAGCATTACATCTCTCTTGATAAATTGTTGCTTTCTCTAAGATTGGAATTATAATATCTAGTAGTTGTGAGAATTAAATAAGTTAATACATGTGGAATTCTTATAGTGCCTGACGCATAGTAGAAGTTCAATAAATATGTTATTATTTTTCCATTAGGAGAGCAAAATTATTTTTTTCGAGTACTTAAGCATTTGTCCCTCTTTTACCTCAAATTGCATCAGAATAGTTCAACTAATATTTGATGTCACTTATCTATATTGGCAGCTATGGCAACATCATTTTTCTATTTAAACTCTGCCATCAGTTCACGGATGTTGTATGAGTTATCTCTTGATGCTGATGAAAAGCGCTTTCAGAGAAGGTGAGCTTTTCACTACATCTAAACAAATGGGAATAGAAAATTTACTGCCATTCTTGCACTGTTCTAGGAGACAAGCTGAGGGCCACTCCTACCTAAAAATAATAGGAAGTATGTGTCCTTCCAGGATCTTGTAACTTCTCAATACACAAACCTAGAACTGAGGTAGAAATAAAGGACTCACAACCACTATGTGCTCACCATCTCCCCTCCCACCCAATTCACTCTTCATTTCTATGGTCTCTGATGGCATAGATTATTCTTTAATATCTGTCATGAGGTTGAGAAGTGGATTTTGCCCTTTGGCCCTCCAATACTCCCTAAGAGAATTTTGAAAAGCTACGTAGTCCCTAACATGTTTTCAAAGTTAACATTTACAAACTTTTTCTGTGTTTAAGTAGTTAGTTGCAAATGATATAATTTCCAGTATGATATGAATTTTGACATTTTAAAATAAAGCAGTAATATTGCTTTATTTTTTTTTATTTTTTGCTCCATGTTTTACATAGAAATATGCTAATAAATTTTCATATACTTAGGGATTTTTTTTCAGAAATCTTATCAGATATCTATTGACTTCTAATTCATTAACATGTGGTCAGATGATATAAACTGAATGATCTCAAGCCTTCAGTATTTATTAAGACATGTTTAAGTATCCAGTACATACTCTATTCTAATAAACATTCTTTGTGTATTTGTTAGGTGTAACATTCAGTAAGTGTTAATTAGATTATATTGGTTGATGTTTTTCAAAGCATTTATACTTTGGCTGTCACTTTTTAAAATATCTGTTTTATCAAATTTTGAGAAAAAGATAAATCTCAAACTATGACTTGTATTTATTTATTTACTTTCTTATTTATATTTATTTCTGACATGTTTTCTCTTGTGTATATATGTTTTAAAGGTAAATTTACATTAAATACTGTTATTTTTCTTGATGAATTTAACATGAAATTTTGGGGTACTATTTTTTTCCAAAATCTACTTTGCATAATATTATAGAGCCACATCATAGTATGCTTCTTCCAAAATTGTATGTTTATATTTTAAGTATGTCTTTTAAAAATTATAGCTGGATTCTATCTTTTTCTTTATGCTGAAAATATATGCCTTTTAATTGGTTGTTTAGTCAACTTACACTTAAAGTAATTATCAATATAATTCACCTTAGCTCTTTCATCTTGTAATTTATTTCATGTTAATCCCACAATTTATTCTGTTGGGTAAATTGTGTATTTTTTTTTTTGATATAACATTTTCTTATGTATTATCATTTTGCTATATTTTTGTGTTATTTTTGTTTATTACTCTAGTGATTACATTACTTATCTTGACATAATCACGGTCTACTTTTAAAAAGGTACTATACTATTTTAAAACAATGTAAGAATCTTACAAATATAATTCAACTTCATTTCACCCTTTGTTTTCTTGTTTTCTCATATTTATTGTTATATATGTTATAGACGTCATGATATATTATTATTATTATTGCTTTCTAAAATGACAGCAATTGAAAGGAAAAAAGAATGAAACTAGACTGTTGTCTATCACCACACACCAAAATTAACTCAAAATGGATTAAGGACCTGAATATAAGACCTGAAACAATAAATTGCATTGAAGAGAACATAGGAACTAAACTCATGGACCTTGGACTTGAGGATTTTATGAATTTGACCTCAAAGGCAAGGGAAGTAAAAGCAAAAATAAATGAATGGGATTACATCAAACTAAAAAGCTTCTGCACAGCAAAAGAAATCATCAACAAAGTAAAGAGACAACCATTGAATGGGAAAATATATTTAAAAGCAATGCCTCTGATAAAGGCCTAATATCCAAAATATACAAAGAACTCATACAACTCAATAACAACAAAAAAACAATCAAGTTAAAAAATGGGCAGAGGACCTAAACAGACGCTTCTCCCAAGAAGACATACAAATGGCCAACAAACATGAAAGGATGGTTAATATCGCTAGCTATTAGAGAAATGCAAATCAAAACCATAATGAAATATCATCTCAGACCTGTTAGAACAGCTGTTATCAATAGGACAAGTAATAACAAGTGTTAGAGAGGATATGGAGCAAAAGGAGCCCTCATACACTGCTGATGGGACTGCAAATTGGTACGACCAGTATGGA